TATATATATAGTTATATTAAATAAATAATATATATATATGTGTGTGTTTCTGCGCATATATATATATATATATCTTTATATATATATATTTATATATATATATGTGTGTGTGTGTCTGTATATGTCTTTATATGTATATATATAACTATATATATCCTTATTTGTTCTTTAGCGTCGTTTGTGTTGTGTATTTATATGTTTGATTTTTTTAAATTCATATCTCGTGCAATAAGCTTTAGTATTTTTCAGGCATACTTTAGCACTTGCGTGTTCGCACACTTCATAAATATAATACTTTCGTTAGGCTGTTTCTCTCACACTGCTACCCATACTTTGTACTTGTACAGGATCCGGAAACACTCAAAGCGGAGGCAGGGAATGCACTTACACAGCAGCAGAAGGAATACGAACGGGAGCAGAACTTGCTCATGCAAACTTCAAAGAAGAAAGATATCATAGCATTCACAGAACCCCCGCCAGAGCTGGAGTTTAGCGTAACTGTACCCACCATCTCTGCACAGGTCTGTCATATGTAATTGAGTAGCATGGTTGTTTTTGCGATCTCTTACAATGTACGTAAAACATTGGATCTCCAGCCAATCTGGGTTGTTGCGGATAGTCTAATGTTTTTAAGTGATATGAACACTATGACATATATTGATTACCGATGGTTTCGAAGAGATTAATGCGGTCGTTGGGAGTCTGGGTAGTTTTTATATATGATGGAAGGTCGATCTGAACACAGTGTATCAGCTAGTGGTTGTATCAATCAAGTCGGTTTGCAACTGTGCACATTCAATTGTATTCTCAATAGGTTTAAACGTCTCGTCCCTAGGAGGTTGTGGGTGTGCTGGAATCAGGTTCAGATTTGAAATTGGGTCTTAGTCGTGTTACTTGTGGTTACGCAACATTCCCGCCTGGATGTGGTGCCTGCGTATTGGACATGTGCAGTATGCAGTGTTGCTCGCGAACTTGAGATCTTTACCTAATCTTGTCAGCATCGATCCCGGGGGGGTTTTTTAACTGATATTTTAATTGGTGGCGTTTTTGATCGACACATGGAGATAGAGGCAGTGCTTGTAGTGTATACATTTATATTCGCCGCAGGTGTGTGCTATAGAGCTATAAGGCTCATGCTCGGGTCAGATCGAGTTGACCGTATCTGTAAGCTACGAACAAACGTACATCGTTTCTTATTGTATATTTATTTAACTGTATCATTCGAAGCTGAGATAGAATTGTACACGCGAAAACCTGATAAGCTTACTGATTTATTCAATCTGAAAAATGTGTTTGGGGAAAGTTCCTTCCTCCAGACATTCCGCACGTGAACGTAGCAGGATATGTAGTCAATACAAACAGTATATCTCATCATGAACACACGTTTGAATATTCCTTGGGTATGTGATCTCACCATCTATACTCTCCCCTTTCGCTTTCAACATTTTCAGGATATTGCCATTGTTAAGTTGACGGCTCAGTTTGTGGCCAAGAACGGCAAAGGCTTTCTGCAGTCGCTGATGCAACGAGAGGTCCGCAACTACCACTTTGATTTTCTCAAGCCCCACCATTCACTCTTCTTCTACTTCACCAAGTAAGTGTACTTGTCCAAGTAGACTGTACTAGAAGGTTAGTAAGCTGTGTAGCGCTAACTGTGCACTGCGATAGGAATAGGATGTTCTGTGACCTCGATCGCACACGGAGGTTTGGATCAGTATACTTAGCCGCATACTCACCAACGGACTGTTTATACATCGTGTTTGCCAATACACTCCCATGCATGACACTGTCTATCTTTCATTGTTTGAATGACTTTGACACCGAGTTGCGGATCTCTAAACACGATTCGTGGTTTATTGTCTGGGTATCGACGATTAATTGTCTGGGTATCGATGGTTTAATGTCTGGGTATCGACGATTAATTGTCTGGGTATTGATGGTTTACTGTCTGGGTATCGACGGTTTATTGTCTGGGTATCGATGGTGTATTGTCTGGGTATCGATGGCTTATTGTATGGGTATCGATGGTTTATTGTCTGGGTATCGATGGTGTATTGCCTGGGTATAGATGTCTTAGACATCTCCTGGCTACGTGTAAGTTTATCTGTAAGTGTATCGTGGGTAGTTGACTAAGTATAGATTCAGATTTCTCAGAGCAGTACACACAAGCGTTGGAACGCTCACTCTACTATGTTGATTGCTTACTACTATCAGGCTAGTTGAACAGTACACGAAAGTAATGTTACCACCTAAAGGCACCAAAGAAGTTCTGCAGAAGGATGGGAAAAGCCCATACAACGCTCTGGGACGCGTCGAACACAGACTCAACTGGAAGAAGCAGGAGAACGCGAAGAAAGAAGCGGCAAACAAGGATGTGGAGAACGAACGGAAAGCCTTCTTATCTGTATGTCGTCATTTGCGTATCAGGGTCGGATTAGGCCCATGAGTGCGTGTGTGCGTGTGTGCGTGTGTATTCTATGTATAGGCTGCAAACACCTGTCTCCCACATAGGCAGCGTCTATTAGTTCTTCTCCTGATAGCCGATCAATCTGTCGTCACCCTCTGCCATTGGTCTGGTATGAGCCCACACCTTAGTTGAGCTACAACAGTTGTAATGAACGTTTTCTGCGGAAGTAAAAGGTGCTATGCGATTGTCCTCTTCTGTGGATTACTAGTTGGTATTACCGGTGTTAGTGCGGTTTTGCCCACAACACCGCGTCCCCTTCTGACGGGCAGATTAATTTGGTAGATCTGCCAGTTGGATTGACGACCTTTAATTTTCACCATGTGTATAGTTAGTCACATGTGTGTGGCTTATCTCATGTGTGTAGTTTATCTCATGTGCGTGGTTTGTCTCATGTGTGTGGTTTGTCTCATGTGTGTAGTTTATCTCATGTGTGGTTTATCTCATGTGTGGTTTATCTCATGCGTGTAGTTTATCTCATGTGAGTGGTTTTTCTCACGTGTGTAGTTTATCTCATGTGTGTAGTTTATCTCATGTGTGTGGTTTATCTTCACGTTGCATGAGCTCTGTCTTGGCTGAGTGCAGGATTCGATATCTGCATCTGAAATGCATGTTCGTACCCGTTTACACTCGCAGATCAATTGCGCCGATTTCGTAGTGGTAGCTCTCCCTCTTCAGTATCTTTTCTGTTAATTTATCTTCGTTCACATATGAGTATATCTTTCCCACATCACAGGTAGTTGTATCATCTGATTCCTTTCCATTTCCGCTTCACAATCACAGATTAATTGGGCCGATTTTGTAGTAGTCGAAACAGTCCCATTCGCCGAAGACGATACATCTGAACTGCCGCCGCCAGTCAACAGACAGACCATTGCACAGCGCATACTGGACCAAGAGCGACTGCAGACCAAGAAGAAGGCACCCGCAGCTGAACTAGTACCCGAAGCCGAGGCGGAGAATGAAGGCGAGAATGCGGAGGAGAACGAAGCCGATGTTGAGGAGGTGGAGATGGAGATGGAAGATGGTACGAGAGCGTGGATTGTTATGTGCGTCTTCTGATGATGATGTGTGAGTATATATATATATATATATATT